GCTAAAGAACCCATTAGACACGGTACGAAAGGGGGGCCAGTTGCAGTTCGTACAGCTCTAGGCTGGGCTCTTCAGGGATTAGATATATACATCAAGCAACATGACCAAGTACAGCAGTGTTTCTTCACCTCCATCGCATCTCCAGATGATCTTCTCTACCGCAACGTGGAGAGATTATGGCAGCTAGATGTTCTACCTTATCGCAGTGAGAAACTGGTAGTACGGTCCAGAGCAGATAATGAAGCTATACACCTGCTTGAGGCCCAAACTCAGCGTGTGGAAGTCGACGGAGTGCAGAGGTATGCAACCCCTCTCCTGTGGAAATCCAGTGCTCCCAAACCTAAAGGCTGTATGCAGTCGGTCCTGGCAAATCTGAGGAGCACAACAAAAAGACTTCAGAAGGACCCTGAGAAAGCCTCAGTCTACTCAGGTGAAATGGACAAACTCATTGGAGCAGGGTATGTAACCAAACTGAGCCAGAAGAACTCGGACCAAACAGAAAGAGGATGGTACCTGCCCCATCATCTTGTAACCCACAACGACAAACCGAGACTCGTATTCAACTGCTCCTTTCAATATCAAGGACCATCTCTGAATGACCAGATGATGCTCGGCCCTACTCTTGGTCCGTCCTTGTTGGGGGGTACTCATAAGATTCCGGCAGCATCATGTCGCTGTGAGTGCGGACATTAAGGGCATGTTCCACCAGATCCGACTTCTGCCTAGTGACAGACCCTATCTTCGGTTCATCTGGAGAGATCCGAGGACCGAAAGCACCCTAGAGGTGTATGAATGGCAAGTTCTGCCATTTGGCACCACTTGCAGTCCCTGCTGTGCCATCTTTGCTTTACAACAGCATGCATGTAATTCAGAAGCTGAATACCCAGGTATGCATCAGATTGTGCTACAGAGCTTCTTCTGTGGGGAAACTTGACAAGAGATTATCAACGTATCAATGTCTCACCATACGAGCGGTGCATGTTGAACTACTGGATGACAGTGGGCCATCAGTCATCCAACGGTGATATCACACCTACTTTCTGAGGCCCGGTCCTCAGCAACAGAGCAATGGTTAGCTCACAACCGTGCTGATCTAACAGAACCCACATTAGGGCTCAGATGGAACTGCTCCTCTGATACTCTTGGCTATCATTATCGGCCCATTAAACATGCCACACTGACGATGAGAACAGCTTATCAGGTATTGGCTTCTCAATATGATCCACTGGGGTTCATTTTGCCATTTACCACCAGAGCAAAGGTGATTATCCAGCAATTGTGGACAAAGAAAAGAGATTGGGATGACCCAGATCTACCAGCTGAT